GCTATATCCACAAAACCTTCGCCTCCGATTGATTTAGAAAGTTCTAACATGCCACCAATTTCATTTTCTGACGATTCACGCACGTTTTCTATTTCAACTGAAAAGGGCCATATCTTCTTCCAACACGCATTTAATGCTGATGTTTTCAGTTCTTTCAGCGACAAAGATATGATGTCGATACAGTGCTTGATTGAAAACTTCTCCCAAGCTTCCATTACATTAATTGATTTTGAATCGGTTACGTCTAAAATCCACTGTAATGCTCTTCTTATGTAATACGTTTTAAAGGTATAAATAATACCTTGAACCAATGGTTGGAGCAACGAAGTAGTGTTAGGTGGTAGGAACAGTATTTTGACGTTGGGATGATTCAAATGTTGTGGGTGACATGGAGCATTATCTAATAGTAATAGCGCCTTGAAGCTCAAATTTTTCTGTCTTAAATAACGTTCAACGTTTGGCACAAAACAATTTAAGAACCAATCTTTAAATAAATTTCCAGTTACCCAAGCTCTTGGATTTGCTTTCCAATATACCAGTAAGGTGTTTCTATTTACGCCTTTAAGTGCACGAGGATTTAAAGATCTATAAACTAACAAGGGTTTTGACATAAAGACCCCCGATGCATTACTGCACGAAAGGAGCGTTAGACGATCTTTAGACACCTTAAATTTGGGTGCTGTGTTTTCTTTTTTCGACACAAAGGTTCTACTCGGCATTTTATTCCACCAAAGCCCCTTTATCTGCTGTGTATCCTTGCTCTTCTATAATGTTTTGAACTTTTTCTGGATACGTCCTAGCGGCTTCATGATCTATGAATTGCAAAACGCTTTTTGAATTTTTCGAACAACATTTACTTGCCACAAAATCTGGGTTGACAGAGGATTTTCTTTGTTCTTTAAGATGTTTGTAAATTTTTAGTGCTTTTTGTTTGATGATATTGCCATCTAATGGAATTCTTTTTTGACAGCAATCATCAATCCAAATGCTGAGTGCCTTTTCCATTTTCTCAATTATTGGCGTCCGGGAGCGAGCTGCACGTTTTGCGGATGTGAAAGATCCTGCAGCAACTGCACTTCTTTTTTCTTTTTCATTTTTCTTGATAGTCCGGACTGTTGTTTCATCCAAATTAAGGCTTTTTCTAATGTGAGATGCTTTTTCTCCTTTCGAAAGACGATCCAAGATTTGTATCTTTACTACTAAAGAAATAAATTTCCTCTAGAATGTTGTTTTTTTATCTTTATCGGACATGGCTTGGGACTGAAGCTTAATGTCTTAACACATCGTGGCTCGAAGCAGACTGCCGACCAGCAGTGTGAGACACTTTTGTTTTCAGGCCACGGAGATGAAAATAAATAATTTCCGCAACACTCACTGAGATAGAAATGTATACATCTCAGTAGCAACACTGTATCTTTAAGACGGCAAGCCTCGCCACAGCTGTAAAAGTACAGTGCTGTACAAAGGTTTTTGCAATTTTCTTATCGTGTTAGAGCGAAACCGTGTTATAGGATGCCGTGTTGTAGGAGGGTATTTTCTATTTTTTCGTCGCTATCGCCAAAGATGACTTAAAATGTGTGTGTGTGTGTGATTTAGATGATTCTTTAAGTAATTTTTAATGAATTCGTTCGTTGTTTCATCACCAGTTGGTTCAAGCTTTATAGCAAATGTTGAAACTGAACTCTCTAAAATA